CACGGCTTTGATGAAGGAATTATTCCCTGCTGATGGGAACAGGCTGACACAGAGACCACAGAAGGCATGGGAGTGCCCAGACCTTGGGCCAGTGGTCTGAGCAAGCCATCCCACTTTGCATCACTCTTACCCATTCAAGACCCCCAAATTCCATCCCAAATTCCTCCCCTGCACTGAAAGCCCCTCACTCCAGCCCTCGCAGGGCATTTCCAAGCCCACCAGCCTCGCAGCTCCAGCTGCTTTCCACTGGAAATCCCTGGCAGAACTCATCCTGCTTCCTGCGAGGCTGGCATTCCTGATCTCCCCCGGTTTCTTTTCTCCGTGTATAATGAGGATTACGGTTTAATTCCTGCCTCACAAGGGGGTGCTGTGGGGATTGCCAGGGTTAAGGCACTCTCAGCACAGAAAGGCTCTTACCAGCCCTTCAGCAGAGGGGCTCAGAGAAAAAAACCCCAGTGCTGTTTGCAGCCTGCTCGCAGCTCGCATCAGCTCCCATTAACTGGGAGGCAATTTTCTCCCCAGTTCAGACTTAATTCCTCCTCTAACTGTTGGCTCTATCCAGAGAACAGCGGGGCAGCAGGGACTGTCAGCGCTGAATTGCCTTTTGAAATGGGATGTGCGAGCTGCCCGTGCCGTGCCTGTGTGCTGTGTGTGTGTGAGTCCATGCAGGAGGCTGCACCAGGAGAGCTCAGAAGTGAAGCCAAGCACGGAATCAGCTCGGGAATCCCTCTGCACCCCCGATCCCCCATTGCTGGCTGCACCACAGACGCATTATGTGTGTTTACAGATGAAAAAAGCGAAAAATAAAACCGGTGCCGGTGTTAAAATTGCGCCGAGCGCAGCCTTCTGCACTGATTCCAAATGTTTATAAACACGGGAGTTAATGTAATCAGCACTGCAGCAAATACACACCAGGTACACGGCACAGACAGGAGCGTCAAACGCGCTCCCAGCTCGGAGTGACAGCTCTCTGCTGTGGGCTCTGCAGCAAACAAAAGCAGCTGAAAAAACCCCACCGAGGAATGCCTGAGAGAGCAATCCCTCCTCCTCCCCTCCTTCCAAGACTTTCTGGTAGTCAGAGCTGTAAAAATCTCAGAGAAGGTGTCCCTTCCCACTGAGCCTTTCAAGCGGCACAGGGAAGAGGCCACTGCTTGGGAAGGCGCTGGGGGAATTCCTGGCTCCATCCATCAGCCCAGCCCCTGGATCTGTGCTCATCCCACAGCAGCCAGGAGCTGCTTTAGAAAGATTTGGACAAGACAATTCCAGGAACTGTTCCACCCTGGGGAAGGATGTGCATCAGTTTGCCAGGGAAGATCCCATCCACAGGAGCTGTGCCAGTGCAGAACCATCACCAACCCTTCATGCAAAGGAGCTGTGTCAGTGCCAGCCCCATCCCAGCCCCATCCCCATCCCAACCCCATCCCAGCCCCATCCCAGCCCCATCCCAGCTCCTGCCTGCTGCCCAAGCCCACATTTTCCAGTGGGAAGGGTTTGGGGAATGCTTGAAAGAGCAATCCCTTCCTCCCTCCTCCTCCCTGCCTTCCAAGACTTTCTGGTAGTCAGAGCTGTAAAAATCTCAGAGAAGGTGTCCCTTCCCACTGAGCCTTTCAAGTGGCAGGGAGCCACTGGGGAGGCATTGAGGGAATTCCTGTCTCCATCCATCAGCCCAGCACCAGTTCTGTGCTCATCCCACAGCATTCAGGAGCTGCTTTAGAAAGATTTGGACAAGTTTGTTCCACCCTGGGGAAGGATGTGCGTCAGTTTGCCAGGGAAGATCCCATCCAGAGGAGCTGTGCCAGTGCAGAACCCTCACTAACCCCTCATCCAAGGGAGTTGTGCCAGTGCCAGCTCCATCCCAGCCGCATCCCAGCCCCATCCCAATCCCAACTCCTGCTCACTGCCCACGTTTTCCAGTGGGAAGGCTTTGGGGAGGTTCCATTCCAGCAGGTTGCTGAGGAGACGTTACCTCACACAGCAGCATCAGCAGAAAACCCCGGTGCTGGCAGAACAGCCAAAATGCTGGGAGGACAAAACACTGCAAGCCTGTTGTTTCCTTTCTTCTTTTTTTTTTTTTTTTTTTTTTCCCAGCCAAATGTTGTTTCATGCTCCAATGGTGATTTTCAAGAGCAATATTTGCGTGACAACTTATGTAAGTGTGGGCCAAGTTCCTACACCACTTCCAGGGTCTGTGTCTAAACCTGATTTCACAGGGGGTGCACAGGAAAGGTTTGGATCTCTGTTTTGCCACCTAAAATGAGACTTTTACCACCCCTAAAACCCAAGAGAGGGTAAATATCGCAGTTTTATAAATTATTTTCCTTGAAGAAGGTGGGGTTCCTCACAGCCCAGTTCTACCTGAGGCACCAGGTGGGTTGGTTTGTTCTCTCTTTGTTTGCAGTGGAACACATTTAGAGATTTATGGAAGGGATTTCTGAGCCTCACAGTGGTTCATGTGTTCCTGCAGCAGGAACCTTGAAATCCCCTGTCTTATCACTGCAGGGCTCCTTTTCCTCATCTCTGGCTGAGATGAGTTTTAGGAACTCACTGTTGTGAGGGGTAAAACAAGGAAATAAAAAATGGGTTTAAACCAGCTGATGTAGCAAAGCAGCTCCCCCAGCCCCTCAGAGGCCATGCACACAGAGACCTCCCCAAATTAAAAACAATATAAAGCATGATGCAATTAAATATGTTACATACTATGATCTTCCTCCCCTAGAAATAACAAAAAACTGCCAAACCAGAGCATTCTGCTCCTGCCTCTCCTGCTCATGCACGAGTCCCCCTTGGGCTTCACGGAAATTTTGGTCTCACAAAATGCTGCAGAACAGGGGCCCCCATGGCACTGTGTAATAAATCTTAGAAGTTAACAGCCAGAACTGTGCCAAATGTGATGGGTTTTGCTTTGTGCAGGATCATGAAAATAATACATTCTGGCTCAGTAAGTCAGGCCTCATGCACCAAGGCTAATGGTCCACTGCTGCTGCTGCTGCTGCTGCTGCTGCTGCTGCTGCTGCTGCATGGATTTACATTTTTGTCTCACATGGTTGAGGGCTGTGATTCGGGAAGCCAAGGCCCCAAGGCTCTGTGAAATCTCCCCAGATTTTTGAAGGGAAATGTGAATTTTCCCCCCACCTGAAATGCAGGAAGCTCAAAGGAGGAGACTTGAGGTGTGGCTGCCCCACAGGTCTCAGGGATGCCAGCTCAGGTGCAGTGACAATAAATGGGAGAAAGGGGAATGTGACACTGGGAATAATGCAAGCTGGAGCATCGTTAATGTGGGGAACTCCATGGTAACTCAGAGAGACCTGCCCAGGGGAGCAATGTCTCATCGGAGGTATCTCTTTAATGGAGTTGGGAAAGGAAATAATGAGATTTTATGGATTAAAACTGAAATTAGACAGATAAACACTCCACGGGCAGGAAAACCAACCAGCAACAAGGATGCTGGGAGCTCCCCACGGCCTGCCTGCCCACAGGGATGGGGGTTTGCCCTCCTGAGCTCAGGTCTGCGGCTTTAGAGAGGAGGCAGGAGGCAGAAATCATCAGCTCAGCAGCCCCAGCTCCACAGGCAGGATGTCCAAAGGAATCCCAGCGGCCTTACAGTCTGCGAATCTATTAACTAAACCTCATTACTACGTAATAACTTTTGTTATTTCGGAGCAAACCTTGTATCTGCCTAATCCGCTTTGTTACAGAGCTGCCCATCCTTCCCTCGAAGAGGAATTAACTTCTAAAGGAATTAAAAGGAGGAGGAGACTGCCGAAGGGGTCCTTAGGGGTATCTTTTTATAGCTGCTGGCTGCCCCCCCCTCCTTTCCCTTTCCCACTATGTGTGGTATCCTTCCCCACTGATTCCATCCTTTTCTGCCTGCCAGGCATTGATTTGTTCCCGTGTTGTTCTAATGGAGCTTGAAATCAACATGACTTTGTTGTTGGTTGTTGTCATTGTTGTTCACATCTTTGTTTGGGGTTCAGCATCCTCGCAGAGGCCGGGGCAGCTCAGGAGCCGGCATTAGCAGGCTGAGCACCTCCTTGGCGAGAGATCCACAAAGGCTGGCTCTGTGTCCACATAATACAGGCTGCCACAACGCGCAGCGAAACCGCTGCCCCCTCCTCCCGCGCATCAGCTCTTGCGCCAGCGCTGAATCCCCTCGCTCATCGGCGCACACAGAGGGTGGCCACAACAAAATCCTTCTTCCAGCAGGCCCCAGGAAAGCGCTGTGGTGTCCCCATCCCAAGCGTTCCGGAGCGCCGCTTTATGTCCCACGTATCTCACTCACATCGCGCAGGGTGAAAAATGCCTTCGGCCGGGGCGGCCGGTGGGTGCCGGGCGTCCGAAAGGAATTCAGGACCGGCTCAAGAATTCAGGAACAGCCCCAAGTCCGCAAGCGAGGCGCCCTGGGCTGCTCGGCGAACAAAGACCAGCTGCCGCCAGCTGCCAACATCCGGAGGGGCGGGCGGCGAGCCCGGCCGCCCGTCCCGCCCTCGCCTGGCCGCGCACCGCCGGCAGCCGCGGCCCAGGGAAGGGTTAACGCTGCGCCCTCCTTCCTCCGAGCGCTGACATCACGGGGCGGGCTCCTCCCGCCAGTGTGTGCGTGAGTGCGAGCGCGGCCGCCGAGCCCCGCACCGGGCACCGCAGCGGGCACCGCACCCGGGCACCCGCGGCCGGCCCGGCCCCGCGCCCCCCGCCCGGCCATGGAGCGCCGCGCCCGGCCCCGCAGCGGCAGCGCCTGAGCAGCGACAGCGGGGCCCCAGCGCAGGGCGGGCAGCGGGCGGGGGCTGCCGAGCCCCGCCGCCGGAGCCACGGCACCGCCGCAGCCCGCCGAGGGCTCTGCCTCGCCGCTCTGCGCTTCTTTTGCCTCCCCTCTCGCTTTTGGGGTTTCTTCTCGTTGATTTTTTTTTTTCTCTCAATTTTTTTTTCTCTCAATTTTTTTTTCTCAATTTTTTTCTCCCAATAATTTTTTTTCTCTCAATATTTTTTTTCCTCTCGATATTTTTTTTTTTAAATCTCATTTTCCACCCCCCTCCCTTCTCCTCGTCGCTCGCCCGGGCTCTGCGGAAGGAAGCGCCCGCACTGCCCCGCGGCCGGAGCGCCCCGCGCCCGCCCCGAGGGGCCCCGCGGATGTGCGGATCCCTCCCGCCCTCTCTTTGTCCTCACCCACCTCCCATCGTATTTTTATTTTTATTTTGAAATTTCATTTTTTTCAAGCAGACCTGAGCATCACCGCGGGCTGGGAGGGTGGGGGGCCCCGCGGCGCTGCCAGACCGACCCCTGCCCATCGCTCTTAAGGAACTCTCATGGCTTCACGGCCGCAGACAAGTTGCCGTGCATCGTGGTGGACTATCGGAGTTTGCATCCTGGCAGCCGCGCTCCTACCAGGTGAGCCGCTCCCCGGAGGGCGCTGCGGGGCTGGAGGCAGCCCTGGAGGGGTTTGCGGGGTGCCCGTGCGGAAAACGGGGTGCGGGAAGGGTGGGATCGGCGTTGTGGGGCGCGGAGCAGGTGTGGGAGCATCTGTGCTAGGGCGGGAGAAGAGCCGGGGCCGGTTTCAGCGCCGGCTCGGCTCGGAACAACACGCTCGTTTGTTTTGGAAGCAGCTGCAGGCAGCGGGCTCCGGAGCCCTGCGAGCCGAGGCCGTTTGTTTGCTTTTTGGATGGAGCGGCGTCTATCGAGGCGCAGCAGCAGCCAGGCTTCCCCGGAAAGGCAGCCACGAGGCTGGGCAGATGTTTCGGGAGGAGAGACGGGAGGGTTTGGGCTCTCCAGCATGCCCAGAATCCCCGCTCCCCTCCGCACACACTTCCCACGGGCTCTTCAGCGGCGGGGCTGGACCGCTCCCAGCTTTCAGCGCTTCCTTGCGCTGCCTCTGAGCTTGGCTGCCTGATGGCATCTTATTCATCCTTTGGTTCCGATCCATCCCTCGCGTTCTGATCCGTCTCTGGAACGGAGATGGGGCAGAGATGCGCCTCTCCCGGCTCGCTGGGGAGAGCAGAGCTGTCCGTGTGTCCTTCCCTGGGCTAGGAGCTGCCCCGGGCTGGGCACAGCGCTGGGGAGCGGGCGAGTGACCCACTTTGGCCACTGCCCTGCGGGGACTCATTTATTATTCCGCTCCGATGCAGAAGGGGTTAATGCCATCCTGGAGGGCTTTCCGCGAGTCGGAGCCATGGAAAGGGGATCGGCAGTCTGCGTTCGCAGCTTGTGAATGAACTGAGAGATGCAAACAGAGCCGGGGTTTCGCCTTTTCGGTGGCTGGGGCTGGAGCGCGGGCACGGCAGCGGATCCAGCCTGGGCTGGGAGCTGCAGCTGGGAAGTTGCGATGAGGGCAGCGTGGAATTGCGTCCTCTCCTGCGATATTGGGGCTGGGGCAGCGTCCCAGAGGAGCGGCCAGGCTGGCTGGGCTGGGACTTTGAGATATGAGCGAGGTCTGGGCCATCAGGGCCCAGAGTTCCCTGGCAAAGACGGGGATGCGATAACATCAGGACACGGGAGATCAACAGATCCCAGCGGCTGGATGGGTCTGGTTGAAATGGATGGAGCGGGAGGGGGTGGCGATCCAGAAACCAGGGAGGCTGTGAGAGGGAAAAGGTTCGCAGGGCGATGGGAAAGCAGCGCTGGGTGCACCTCGGTGTCCCCAGGACAAAGGGATCTGTGTGCATCGCAAACAGAGGTGACGGAAGGGACAGCCTCGGGCTCCCCGCGCTCCTCTGTGCTTCAGGCAGGTGCCTGGCTGAGCTCCGGCTCCTCGCAAGGAGTCTCGGAACTTTCCATGCCGTTCTGCACCTCATCCTCCCCCCACAGCCCCGGGCAGAGGCTGGTGGAGGGGCAGCAATGCTCTGCCTGAACCAAAGGACTTTGTGCTCCCCTGGGAGCTGCTTTCACCAAGGAGACACGCAGTGACCCCGACAGAGCCTGGCATCTCACCTTGTCCTGCCAAGAGAGACTTCTTCTCCTATTTTTGGCCGTTCTCGGGGCTGTGCTGCCAGCAGCAGCTCCTCTCTTGCCGCTGCAGCAGCAGCATGGCATTTGTCTTGCCCCGTCCCGCTGACAGCTCTGCCAGGACAAGGCAGTGGTGCATCTCGTGGTGCCTTGCCAAGGCCGGGGGACAGCCAGCTCTGCAGTGTTCCAGCAGGATCAGCCTCCCCAGAGCCTGGCCCTGAGCACAGTGCCCTGCAGCCTGTGTGGGCGACACTCTCGGCCCAACCTGTTCAGCGGTGGATGCACCACAGCTGCAGGAGGGGCTGATCCTGGGTATTAAATATTCATTCATTCGTTTATTTGGTTCGTTTGGGTGCTCTGATGGACCCAGAGCTGCAGGGAAGGAGCAGCACAAAGCAGAGGGTCTTTACCAGACCCCAGGTAGTTCCTTGAGTTCACAATTTATTTTGCCAAAATCATATATATATAAAATACATATATATATATGTCATATAAACATATACAAAGCTGTATATATATATATGTTATATACATATATATATATTTTATATATATATATGTTATATATATATATGAGATATATATATATATAAATTCAATTTAAGCTTTGAATTCAGACAAGCTTGCTTAACAAGGAGAGAAAACTCAAGGTCCTCTACTACAAGTCAATTAGTAGCTGTGGACTTGTTGGAAAATGTGGTTTTTGTACCCAGCACCCAAGAAGGATCAGAGCAGTGCCTGCTCTCTGGGAAACCTTTCATGTCCAGCTGATCAATGCTATTTCATTCTGTTCCCACCCACCTCCCCCTTCAGATAATGTTAGCTTTTTTTTTCCCTTTGCTCTGATAAGGAAATAAAAGTTCCGCCGCTGTAAAAGCTGTAAGGAGCCTGGTATAAAAATCTGCTTTACAAATTATCTTTAATGTGAGCGGTTCAATCGCCCAGAACGGATTCAATTCACGGCTCCTGCAGCCTTCCCTGCCCATCCGTTTGGAACCAGGTATCAGCTCACGCTCCACTCGAGATATTGATATCAACAGGGGTTGCAGAGAGCCGTGGGGGAAGGGGAGCAGAGATCCCAGGCACAGCTTAGGAACGCTTGCAGTTCAATTTGTGCTTTACAAGCCTTAACAATCTGTCTGTCTGTCCCCACCGTGGAGCCCCTGCAGCCACACAGAGCGGAGGCATCACCTGTGCCTGCTCCTGCCCCTGCTCCCAAACCGCTGCGGACAAATTCCTCTCTGCCATTGCTGGGCTGCCTCCTGCTCTGCCTGGGAACGCTCTGCAAAGCGCTTTGAGATGCTCCACGGGGGATGGAGAGCGGCAGAGGTGGCTGGAGCTGCTTTGCCACGGGGTTTTTCCATCAAAGGAGCATTGGCTGAGCCGTGGTGACCCGCAGGGCTGGGGTCAGGCTGGGCTGCAGCTGGAGGGAGGGTTCATTTCGGGGAGCCACAGCTGGGAAGAGCCAGAGCGTGTCACTGCAGGATCCGCTCCGTCTTGTACTTTTAATATCCCAAAGTAGCTTCCAAAATGAAAAAAAAAAAAAAAAAAAAGTTGCCAGAGTCTCCTTCAGCATTTGGATTGAGTTCTTGGCTGTTATTTTTTTCTTCCCCCGCCTCCCAAAACTCACAAACAGCAGCATCAGGCTATTTCAGGCAGCAAAAACGTGTCTTTGGCTGATTTTTTTTCTCTTTGAAATTCACTTAAACCGACCAGTCGGGTTTTAGCCTGGAGCTGCTGAGTGTGTCAGCGTGGGTGAGGCACCAGGCTGGGGCAGAGGCAGCTCAGCCCATGAGCAGGGGGTGTTGGAAGATGATCTTTGAGGTGCCTTCCAGTCCAAATCATTGTGGATTCTGTTAGTAGAGGATCCTGAGTTTCCTCTCCTTGGATTCAAACCTTAAATACAGCTTTATATATGTTTATATTTATATATATGATTTTGGCACAATGCAAAAGGAGCTGTGTGGGGTCTGGTGAAGACTCTCTGCTTTGTGCTGGTCCTTCCCTGAGATGCTGTTTGCCCCCTGAACCAGCAGCGTTGGTCAGGCAGGAGCTCCCAGCCCAGTCCCATCCTCAGGGAGATTCCAGGGGCTCATCCAGCAGCAATTCCAGTGCTCGGGACGAGCTGGTGGCTGAGGAGAGCCTGGCGCATCTCTCCTTGCATCACCCCTGCTGCTCTGGGCTGCCGCTGCAGCAGCCACAAAAGCCGAGCTAAAGGGAGGCACCAGGGGCTCCTTTGAGCAGGGCTCACACCTCGGCTGAATCACGGCAGGAACCTGAAGAGCAGGTTGGCCATGACCTGCTTCCCAGGCTGCCACCGGCACCTCCTGCCCTCTGCTAGTGCCACCAGGCTGGGGACAGCCCCAGGGGACAGCAGCAAGGGGTCTTTTCCCACCTCTTCCCACCTGGGGAGTCACACAGCACTGCCAGGATGGGGCAAGAACTGCAGGGGAAAGGGGATTTATCACAGAATCCTCAATGGTTTGGATTGGAAGGCACCTTAAAGATTGTCTTCCAACCTCCTGCCTTGGGCAGGGACACCTTCCACCTTGGTTTGCTCCAAGCCAGGAATTTTGGGAAGAGCTAGAGCTGGGCAGTGTGTGACCAGACAGGGATGGGGCAAGCACTGCAGGGAAAAGGGGATTTATCACAGAATCCACAATGGTTTGGATTGGAAAGCATTTAAAGGTCATCTTCCAGCCCCCTGCCTTGGGCAGGGACATCTTCCACCAGACTGGTTTGCTCCAAGCTGGGAATTTTGGGAAGAGCTGGAATTGGGATATATGAGAGCAGACAGGGATGGGGCAAGCACTGCAGGTAAAAGGGTTTTATCACAGAATCCACAATGATTTGGATTGGAAGGAACCTTAAAGATCATCTCCTTGAACCCCCTGCCTCGGGCAGGGACATCCTCTACCAGACTGGTTTGCTCCAAGCCAGGAATTTTGGGAAAAGCTGGAGCTGGGATGTGTGAGGGCTGCAGGGATGGGTTGGCCAGCGCTCAGGAGGATGGCCACGGTCCTCAGGGCTGCCAGGAAAGGGTTGGAATATTGCAACATCCTTGCCCGAGGTGCTGATGGCTCCTGCTCGGTCCCTTTCAGAGGCCAGCCCGGCTCATCAGTGCAAAAAAGCAGAAACAAATGAGGGAGGGATAAAGGAAGGTACTCCAGTCTCACAGCCCCTGGAGATGTTGCTTTTCCAAATCACGTCGGATTAAATCAGGGCAGCTCTGCTGAAGGGCGAGCTGGTGCTGAGCCACTGGAGCAGGGACCCGGTTTGCACTGGAGACACCTCTTTGTGTTAATTACCAGAGCTCAGCACGGAGATTTCCCAGCTCTGAGGTTCCAGGTGAAGGAGTTGTGTGCTGTTTCACACACAGCAGCAGTTCCAGGTGAAGGTTTGTTTAAGGAATGAGAGGTCTCATGCCATGGTTCCTCCTGGCTGTATTG